TGGAATCAAGTCAAACTAACTTTATATCTGACTATTTTTTTTTTGTGTGTGTGTGTGTGCTGGGGACTGAACCCAGGGGTGCTTAACCACTGAGCCTCCTCCTCAGTCCTTTTTTATTTTTAATTTTGAGACAAGGTCTTGTTAAGATGCTTAGAGTCTTGCCAAGTTGCTGAGGCTGGTTTTGAACTTGCAATCCTCCTGCCTCAGCCTCCTGAGTCGCTGGGACGTGTAACTGCTGTGCCCAGCTTTAAATCTGACATGTAATTTTGGCCTCGTCACTTGAACATCTTTTAGCTTCAGTTTTTCAAACACAAAATGAGAACAATGCCACCCATTCCAGGGACTGAGGGTGAGGATGAAGGTGATGTGAGGTCCCATCTCTGACGTGCCTACTAGGTTGAAGCTTGTTTGTAGGTTGGTGGGTTGGAATTCAGAAGGTGTTTCCACGGAGGAATCCTCTTGCAACTGATGGTCATATCCCCATCTGGTGCAAACCCTAAAATCTCTGTTACTAAGCTCATTTCACCCTGAATTCTAGTATGCATTAGTCATTGACACCTTAATTAGTTATTGACAGTTTAATATGCAATAAGATATTTGCATTTTCACTGGAGGACATTCATTATCTGCGTCCATTGGGGTGGTTTCACAAGTCCTCTTCAGGTATGTGCAGTTTATCATGTAATACCAACCATGTCCTTCAATCGTGCTTTAGAAAAATTCACTTCCCCATTGACCCAGCAATCCAAGTTCTCAGACTCGATACTATAAAAATGAAAGCTCAAGGACATTCAGGGTTCAGCAAACTTCCTGTAAAGGGTACCAGGGATTGAACTCAGGGGCACTCAACCACTGAGCCACATCCCCAGCCCTATTTTGTATTTGATTTAGAGTCACGGGCTGCTTGGAACTCATGATCCTCCTGCCTCAGCCTCCCGAGCTGCTGGGATTACAGGTGTGTACCACTGTGCCCGGCTCCATTATTTGACTTCTTCAATCTCCCCTAGTGTTGAGATGCTTGTGAAAATTTTAAGAGCCCTAATAAGAAATTTTAAAAATATTTCTTTATTGAATGGAATGAATGCTCCAGTCCAGTCCTTGACATCCCCATAAAGGGCAACTGAGTGAGAACTCAAGCTGTAGGAGGTGGGAACATTCCCTGAATCGTCCACACAGGGATCCCAGCTCTGTGCACCTGGGCACGTGGCACAGGAGTCACTAGGCACCTGCGTGTACCTTGCACATGCACACGTGTGTGTGCCAGGGCCCCTCTACAGGGACACACTCATGTTCCCACCTGCCTCTGCCCCAGGGCACAGGTGTGCTGGGTACCTGCTGGGTCTTCCACAGCCTCTCCTGAGGGCCACTCAGGCACTGGAAGAGACACAGACAGTTCTCCTGGGCCCTGCTTACTCACATGGACCCCTCTGTCCCCTGGGTCCAACCAGAAAGCCTCCTCAACCTCTTACCCCCTGGTATTCAGCCTCCTCTAGAAGGATCCAGGGTCCCCTTGCCATCCCCACTTTATTCTCCTGGTGGTGCTGTGATGGAACCCAGGGCCTTGGGCATGCTAGGCCAGCGCTCTGCCATTGAGCTACGCCCCAGGTGACATTCTTCTCTCACAACAAACATTGATGGGTGCCTACCCCAGGCTGGGTGCCAGGATGAGAGGGCACAGCCCCGTCCTCTACCTGCGGAAGACCCGCCCCCCAGGCTCTTGGGGACAGGCACAGGTGTCACATGTTGGGTGAGGGCAGGGCTGGTCCTGGAGGAGGGGCTGCAGGGCTGAGTTGGGGGAAGAGGGAGAGGCTAACCCTGGAGGGAGTGGCTTGTGTCCAGTGGGCAGGGAGTGGTGGCCACCATCCGGGAGGATGTGGAAGAGGGTCTCTGGGGACCTGGGCTGGGAACACAAGTCAGGAGGATGCCCCTTCCCCAGCCCTGGCCCCCAAGAAAAGCGGCTGTTCCCAGGGAGGAGGAGCTGGGCGGGACTCCATTCCACCTCGCCATTGCCATCCCAGGCCCCTTGCCCAGCGAGCAGGAGTGGGGATGGGTACTGATGCTGACCTCCCTCTCCCGTCCCCCCAGTCCTCCTCATAGTCTCCCTTTCAGTGAGAGCCTCGGGTATTGTTCCACTTTTGTAAAGACGGGGATCAAGTGACAAAGCCCGGTGGGTGGGCAGGCGGCCCAAGAGGCCTCTTCTCTCCCGGGCAGCATCTGCATGGGGGCGGGGCTGTTCCACCTCCCACCTCTGGCTTCCCAGGAGCTGGCTGTTGCCATGGTGACAGGCCTGGCATCCACAGCCCCTGGGGCACCCTCCCCACCATGGCTGCCAGAGGAAGGGCCCCCAACTCCTCTTCACCCTGGAGGGGGCCGGGACACACAAAACATGGCTGATAGGCCCCCGCAGCAGGTCCCCAGCAGCCTGAGCCTCCGAGTTCGGCTGCCAGCAGAGGGGCAGTTCCAGAACCCCCACAAAGACACCGTGACAGTGGCCGGGTGGGGGCTCAAGGAGCAGAGCTGGACCTCCCTTCACTACCATCCAGGTCTCATGCTTCTTCGAGCCAGTTAGAGAAAAATGACAGGTTCCCAGGTCCCTGGCACAGCCCCTGGTCTCATGGCAGAGCGAGGGGTGGGTGGAGGGCTCACAGCATGCTGGGACAAGGCAGGTGGCAAGGACCCTGGGGCCCAGGACAAGTCTGAAGCTCCATCCAGAAGAGATGGGGGTGCCCCAGGAGGTGGTGGTGTGCCAGAGAGCAGGAGAGGAAGGGCCACAGGGCTGGGAGGGAGCCCGCAGAGGTCTGAAGCAGGCTTGGAGGAAATGAAGGGGGCGGGGCTTTCCTGGGAGGGCTTCTATTGCCATCCTAAAAGTAGGAAATCTCACCCTGTGCAACGGGGGAACCTCTGTTGTCCTTAATCAGGTGGTCAAGGCTGGGCCCTTTTTTCCAAGGGGACCATGCTCCTGCCCTCCTATGTGGCAAGTTCAGGATCTTGCACCAGCACCTCTCTCCACTCAGGCATCTCCATGGATGCTCCATCTCTCTTGTCCTCTCGACAGGGGCTGGGTGAGCGCCAGTGACAGCATAAGCCTTCGTCCGTCCTCGAAGAGAAGCTGAGCACTAATGACAGGCGTGTGTGGGAATGCCAGCCCCATCTCCTCCATCATTGCCACTGCCTGAGCTGCCACCCCATGCCACACTCTGCAGCAGACAGGCTTTGGCTGAGTGGGGCTGGGAGGACAGGTGCCCTCCTCTGGTGGTGGACACTGGCAGCCTCTGCAGAACAGCCCAATTGCCAACCCTGGCCTTTAGGAGCTACATAATCCTGAGTAAAAGCTTTGAGTTTTCTGAACTTCAGTGTCCTATCGGCAAAACGGGTATAGGGTTCTTTGTAAGACTGCCATGAGTATTAAAAAGGGAATTGTAATGTGCTTGGCTCTCAGTAGGTCCCTGGTCAGGTTCCTTGGCCTCCCTGCCTCTCAAGGACACAGCTCTTCATTCCCTAAGCCTTCCTGAGCAGCTAGTAGGTGTCTGACCCTGGACTGAGACCTCATATAGAATCTTGGTTGTTGTTGTTGTTTATTGTTTGTTTTGGTACCAGGGATTGACCCCAGGGATGTTCTACCTCTAAGCTACATCCCCACCCCTTTTTAATTTTTTTTTTTTTTATTTTGAGACAGGGGTTCTCAGGCTGGCCTTGAACTTAAGATCTTCCTGCCTCGGCCTCCAGAGCCTACAGGGCTCAATTCTCATATGCAGTATTGACTCTGAATCCTCCAGGTATTTGTAGGCTGAGGGGGTGGAGATAGATGGACAATGGTGGGAACAGTCTAAAGGTTCCCAGAGCAGAGTCCCTTGCGGGGTGATTCTTGGATTTTTCCTGCCCAGCTATCTGGGATCCACAGCAGTTTCTAAGCAGGTCCCAGAGATCAAGGGGGTATCTTAGAGAGAGGTGATAGGTTACTAACACTCCTCCAGAAGGGAGAATGTTCTTGTGAGATAAGTAGTACAGCGCCCAGAGGCGGAGAGTTACACACGGAACTTGGTAACTCGATGCCCTTGCACATGTCACGCCTCTCAGCATCCGTCTCCCCACCTGAGAAATGCGGATAGTGCCTCATTCTTGGAAGGCTACGCAGATGGCACGAGGTCCAGCTTGCAGCAGGATTCCTCGGCAGAGGTGCACAGGAGCTGGATCATCTGTCCTCTTTACAGAAAAGGAAACTGAGACACATAAACCAGTAAAGAGGCAGAGGCTGCACTTGGACAGTCTGAGTAGGAACCGAGACTTTCCACAAGTGGAGGGAGGCCTCAGACAAGTTCTCTCCACGTGGGAAAACGCCCCCCATACTGGGGGGTGTAGGCAAGGGACCGTCGCGGGGAGAGTTTGGGCCGCCAGGGAAGGGGAAGAGCCTGGTGGAAAAGGAAGAGTGAGCCGGTAGAAAACGTTGCCCACAGCTCCGGTCACCCGCTGGCGCCCCAGCGCGTCTGAGAGATGCGGCGCCTTTAAAGCCTGGCGGGGGCGTGTCCGGCGCGCGGTCCCCGCCCCTGGGCGTGTCCACACAGAGCCCCGCCCCGGGC